CCCTTTTCAGACAGTGTCTCACTGTTGCCCAGGCTGGTCACAAACTCCTGAGCTCAAGTGATGCCTCAGCCTCCTGAGCGGCTGGGACCACAGGTATGCGACACCATGCCTGGCTCCACTGAAATTCTTCTTTCACATTGCAAGGTCATATATGCAGACAATACAGAAATTCAAATGGCTCAGAAAGTACAATCAATAGGCCTTTTCATTTTAGCACCCAATGTAGAGGTAGGACCGATTCTCTGGCAAATCTGGGAGCAAATGCAGACTCAGTTACCCAATAAACATCACAAACGGTCTAATTAAATAAAGTTACTTCTGGGAGGTCCTGATTCTCTTGTACTCCCCCATTCCAGAACCCAATACAAGGCATGAAGAACAGAAGTATGAAGGTTGAACTGCAGAATCTTATTCACCTAAACTATTAGGCTTCTTGACTGGAAGAAAAAAAAGGATGTGCCAACAGCTGGCAAACCAGAAGCAACACACATAGCACTGAACATCCCTGTCATGTTCGTGGCAGTGGAAAAAGAACTGTGCAATGTTATACTGAAATTAAACCTAGTCACAACTTATTGTTGACATTCCCGGATCCTCTAGTGGTTTAAAAACTATTAGCACCCTGCCCCCACCAAATTACCCTTGCATTCTGTGCTTCTTGGAGCTCTTGCATTCTCTGCAATCTTGCCTTGTGATCCATCTTCTCGAATATTTTGACTTTGCCCAGGACTGATCTGGGAGTGTTGTCTTGCTCCTCAGTGCTCTCCCCAACCTCCTCACCCTCAGGGGGAGGGACAGGAGTGGAGGGCTTCAGGATAGATCTTCCAAAGGCAGGTTTTGCTGCAACAGGGGGAGGACAACCTTTGGTAGATACCCCTGGAATTTCATTACCAGCCACAGTAGAGGGGTTTAACTTGTATTCCTGGTTTTTAGAGAAGTCGTAGGATTCTTCCCTGTTCTGGGTTCTGGCCTGTAAAAAGTTAATGACATGTTTTTACCTTGAGCTTTTAGTTTATTTTCAAATCTATATTAGTGATTTAATACACTCCATTTCCTGATCAGTTTCCAAAGGTGGTCAACAAATACCATTCAAATGAGAGATCAAATATGGCAGGGCAAACAGCCACTGGTTGGGCATCCTGAGCCCTACTTCAGGTTGTCAGAAAGTGCTGGGAGGATATCCATTGTTACACACAGAATAAACCTTCAATAATTTTGTACCACAGGATACCAGAATGTTGCAGAAGACCTCTGAACCAGTCAACTTTGGGAGTGGGTTTCTGAGGTCAATTTGCACTGTGTGTGCATGCCATGACTGGAA